CCCCGCGGCCCGGTCCATGACCAGGCCTCCCGATGGATCAGGGCCTGATCAACTAGGCTGTTACTGCTGGCCGCACGCAGTCCGACGTACGAGCCACAGCCCGGCTGATCCGGCACTGACTTTAGGTATCTGTCCAGCTCTCTCTTGAAGGCAGCCAGGGGTTTATTGGCAATTCCCCTAATGCTTGATGGGAGGCTGTTGAACAGTTTTGGGCCCCGGACACTTATGGTGTTTTCTCTTAGTGTACCAATGGCGCCCCTACTTTTTATTGGCGGCATTTTGCATCGCCTGCCAGTCTTTTACTTTCGTAGGGAGTGATTTCTGTGTGCAGATTTGGGACCATTCCTTCCAAGATTTTCCAAGTGTAGATTATGATATATCTCTCCCTCCTGCATTCCAACGAGTACAAGTCAAGTGCTTCCAAGCGTTCCCAGTAGTTAAGGTGCTTGACAGAACTTATACGTGCAGTAAAGGATCTCTGTACACTCTCTAGATCTGCGATTTCACCTGCTTTGTATGGAGATGTTAATGTACAGCAGTATTCCAGCCTAGAGAGAACAAGTGATTTGAAAAGGATCACCATGGGCTTGGCATCTCTCGTTTTGAAAGTTCTCATTATCCATCCTTCATTTTCTTTGCACGTGCGATCGTGGCACTGTTGTGATCCTTGAAAGTGAGATCCTCAGACATTACTACTCCCAGGTCCCTTACATTATTTTTCCGCTCTATTGTATGGCCGGAGTCAGTAGTATACTCTGTTCTAGTTATTATCTCCTCCAGTTTTCCATAACGGAGTAGTTGGAATTTGTCCTCATTGAACATCATATTGTTTACCGTTGCCCACTGGAAAACTTTGTTTATATCTTCTTGGAGGTTAACCGCGTCCTCAGCAGATGACAGCCTCATGCAGATCCTAGTATCATCCGCAAAGGATGATACGGTGCTGTGGTGTATATCTCTGTTTATGTCTGATATGAGGATAAGGAATAAGATGGGGGCGAGTACTGTGCCTTGTGGAACAGAGCTCTTCACTATGGCAGCCTCCGATTTAACTCTGTTGACCACTACTCTTTGTGTTCGATTTGTTAGGAAGTTGAAGATCCATCTCCCCACTTTCCCAGTTATTCCTTTAGCACGTATTTTATGGGCTATTACGCCATTATCGCATTTGTCAAATGCTTTTGCAAAGTCTGTGTATATTACATCTGCATTCTGATTTTCTTCCAGTGCATCCAAGGCCATGTCATAGTGATCCAGTAGTTGTGAGAGGCAGGAGCGACCTGCCCTGAACCCATGTTGCCCTGGATTGTGCAGATTTTGGGAATCCAGGTGATTTGCAATCCTGCTTCTTAGCACTCTTTCAAAGATTTTTATGATGTGGGACGTCAGAGCTATTGGTCTATAGTTCTTAGCTAATGCTTTGCTGCCACCTTTATGGAGCGGGGCTATATCCGTTGTTTTAAGTGACTGTGGAATTTCACCCATGTCCAAGCTCCTCCTCCATAGTGTACTTAGGGCACGTGAGAGGGGTTTCTTGCAGTTCTTAATGAAAACCGAGCATGCATAATTCCTTTGTATAAAGGCAAAGGGGACAAAAGAGAGTGCAAAAATTACAGGGGGATAAGTCTGTTGAGTATACCTGGTAAAGTGTATGGTAGAGTTATTATTGAAAGAATTAAAAGTAAGACTGAGAATAGGATAGCAGATGAACAAGGAGGCTTTAGGAAAGGTAGGGGGTGTGTGGACCAGGTGTTTACAGTGAAACATATAAGTGAAAGTATTTAGATAAGGCTAAAGAGGTCTTTGTGGCATTTATGGATTTGGAAAAGGTATATGACAGGATGGATAGGGGGGCAATGTGGCAGATGTTGCAGGTGTATGGTGTAGGAGGTAGGTTACTGAAAGCAGTGAAGAGTTTTTACGAGGATAGTGAGGCTCAAGTTAGAGTACATAGGAAAGAGGGAAATTATTTCCCAGTAAAAGTAGGCCTTAGACAAGGATGTGTGATGTCACCGTGGTTGTTTAATATATTTATAGATGGGGTTGTAAGAGAAGTAAATGCGAGGGTCTTGACAAGAGGCGTGGAGTTAAAAGATAAAGAATCACACATAAAGTGGGAGTTGTCACAGTTGCTCTTTGCTGATGACACTGTGCTCTTGGGAGATTCTGAAGAGAAGTTGCAGAGATTGGTGGATGAATTTGGTAGGGTGTGCAAAAGAAGGAAAATTAAAAGTGAATACAGGAAAGAGTAAGGTTATGAGGATAACAAAAAGATTAGGTGATGAAAGATTGGATATCAGATTGGAGGGAGAGAGTATGGAGGAGGTGAATGTATTCAGATATTTGGGAGTGGACGTGTCAGCGGATGGGTCTATGAAGGATGAGGTGAATCATAGAATTGATGAAGGAAAAAGGTGAGTGGTGCACTTAGGAGTCTGTGGAGACAAAGAACTTTGTCCTTGGAGGCAAAAGAGGGGAATGTATGAGAGTATAGTTTTACTAACACTCTTATATGGTGTGAAGCATGGTGATGAATGTTGCAGCGAGGAGAAGGCTGGAGGCAGTGGAGATGTCATGTCTGAGGGCAATGTGTGGTGTGAATATAATGCAGAGAATTCGTAGTTTGGAAGTTAGGAGGAGGTGCGGGATTTACCAAAACTGTTGTCCAGAGGGCTGAGGAAGGGTTGTTGAGGTGTTTCGGACATGTAGAGAGAATGGAGCGAAACAGAATGACTTCAAGAGTGTATCAGTCTGTAGTGGAAGGAAGGCGGGGTAGGGGTCGGCCTAGGAAAGGTTGGAGAGGGGTAAAGGAGGTTTTGTGTGCGAGGGGCTTGGAATTCCAGCAGGCGTGCGTGAGCGTGTTTGATAGGAGTGAATGGAGACGAATGGTTTTTAATACTTGACGTGCTGTTGGAGTGTGAGCAAAGTAACATTTATGAAGGGGTTCAGGGAAACCGGCAGGCCGGACTTGAGTCCTGGAGATGGGAAGTACAGTGCCTGCACTCTGAAGGAGGGGTGTTAATGTTGCAGTTTAAAAACTGTAGTGTAAAGCACCCTTCTGGCAAGACAGTGATGGAGTGAATGATGGTGAAAGTTTTTCTTTTTCGGGTCACCCTGCCTTGGTGGGAATCGGCCAGTGTGATAATAAATAAAATAAGTAATTATAGAAATGACTTTGAATGGTTTACTGACTAAAAGTAGCTTGAAATTGAGCTCAAAGTAGCAGAAATGTTAGATTTTTGACAATGTTCAAGGGTACACAAATCACATCACCCGTCTAATACACATCAACTGGTGGGCCTAAAATGCATGCATGAATGCACTATTATTATTTATACAATTATTACCATCATGCAGTAGTCTGAATAACGGTAGCTCATCTATTTTTTGTGTGAATAAAAATTCAGAATGAAAAGCAAGAATAATATAAGAGGGGCCTGGAGTTGTTACTCATGAACAGAGAAAATGTTATTTTAGTGCCAGGAATGTCTGCATTGTTTATTCTGGTCCCTATTTTGAAATTGGTCTTTCTTGAATTTTTTTGTGAAATTGGCCAAATTAGTAATTTCTGATAAATTTTTTGTGTAGCTGAAATAGGTAAATGAGTGGTTTCTCGTACACAGTCGACAGAATAAAAGGAGTTCTAGCGAAATAGGTAAGAGTTTGGTTGAGTGAAAAAAAGGAATTGGCCCAAAATAATGCTCAAAGTGGGCGAAATCGCTGATGCATAAATATCGCTGAAACTGCTAACTTTGCAAGAGCGTAATTGCGTAAGTTTTCCATCAAATCTTGAACTTTAGGTTTCATTACCTCCAGAAAAAGATTCTCTATCATTTCAAAAGATTTTTTTTTTTTTTTAAATTCAACACCATGAACAAGTTTGCAAGTAGGGGTCTCAACACTCAAGGGGTTAACCCCTTCAGGGTCCAAGGCCCAAATCTGAAGTGGTGCCCCAGTGTCCAAGAATTTAAAAAAAAAAAAAAAATTTTATTTTTTCTTATGAAATGGTAGAGAATCTTTTTGTGAAGGTAATAAAACAAAAAGTATGAAATTTGATGGAAAATTGACAAAATTATGCTCTCACGAATTTTGATGTGTCAGTGATATTTACGAATCAGCGATTTTGCCGACTTTGACCCCCATTTTAGGCCAATTACATTATTCCAGTCAACCAAATTCTTAGCTATTTCACTAGTATTACTTCTATTCTATCGATTGAGCACAAGAAATCGCCAAGTCAACTGTTTCAACTACAAATTTTAAGTTCGGAATGTTATTTGGCCAATTTACACAAAGTTTAAATTTCCAATTTTCAAATGGGTCAGAATAAACAATGTAGGTATTCCTGGACTAAACTTAACATTCCTTGTCATTAGTTACGTTTTGAGGCTTTACAAATAAATTCATTTTTTTTTTATTCACAAAAGAATTTTTATTCACACCAAAAATAGAGATTTATGTTATGCAATATTGTAATAAATTTTATAAAAATCATCACCTATTTGTGAACATAATCAGACCCACCGCTGGCATGTATTAGACGGTGAGTCGTTTTTTACCTTGGAATATCCCGGGGAAAATTTAACATTTCTTTCTACTTTGAGCCTTTCAAGCCATTCGTGCTAAAACCAATCAAAATCTTTCTATTTCTGGGAATATGTCTTCCATTCATCAAATGAGACCAGAAATCCAAATACAAAATAAAAAAAAAACGAAAAAACACTGCAAAGCCCTGTTTTAATCGAAAAAAACGATTTCATTTTTTTCTCTATTCCACAGTTGCTGCGGGACTGTTTTTGTGGGCACAAAACCCAAAATAGATGTATTCTCTCATTTTGGGGGCCCAAATGTACCACTCACAGTTTATCAAAGTGAGCTGAGCTCATGACGTAGATCTACGGTTTGGACCTGAACGTAAAGCCGTAGATCTATGGGACGGACCCTGAAAAGGTTAAGAGGATAATCAATACATCAGTATTTTCATGCGGAGTTGAACACACCTGTTGTGAGGCTTGTGTTTGCTGAGCAATCTGTGCTGCCTGGGAGATCATTTTCTGCTTGTTCTTTTCTGCCATTTCCATAGCAAGCTGGTTGATCTCCCGTTCATCCAGCCGCTCCTGCTTTATCCGCGGAGCTGTGGAAGACATGATAAATTAATATAAATGTTTAATTATTATTATATTAATTGAAAAAACATTAAACCTGGAGGGTCATACAGCACCTGGGGAATGAGAGGTTTGATATGAGGAAAGGCGAGATTAGCTCCAATTCCTTCAATTAAGAGCCTTTCACCAGTAAGTATTAACGTCCCCCCCATTTGAAAGGGTAGTGATATGAACAACAAAAGAGTTGTCAAAATTATACAGCATCAAAATCCTATATAACTTAAAGTAAAAAATGCAACTTAGTACTGATGTCATGTTATTAATAGTGTAACTGCTGTCAAACCAGAAAAATTACAATACACTTTGATCAGCAAATAGTGTTTGCAATTTTGAGATATTCTGTATTGATAATTTAAGTAACTGGTATACAGGTGTATAGTACACCTGTACAAGAACAATAATAATAAAATAAATTCAAAGAGAACAAATATGAACTTCAAATAAGTGTACACTTTTTTGAAGTGAAAATTTATTTATTTATTTAAAGTTTTAGAATAAAAAAAGAAGATATTATGCAAAATTGCCGATGCATAAATTGTGCAGAGACCACCAACTTTGTGCCTGCATAATTCCATGTTTGATGTATTAGTGCACACAATTTTTCATACCTTTAAATCTGCCACCTCCCAATATTGACCTCAGAATAACTCTGCTTCTTCAATCTATTCATACATTTAAGAAACTAAGACCAAGAGGATCCACATAATGCATCATGTTTAACTATACAGGTGTTGACTGTGCCCAACATACTATTATGGTTAAGTAGCAAAAGTAAACATTGGAATCAGGAACTGTTGCTCCACCAGCAGCTTCCCTACCAGCAAACAGGGTGTGCAAGTAGCACAAGTGTAACTTCTTTTTTTTTTTTTTTTCCAACAAGTCGGCCGTCTCCCACCGAGGCAGGGTGACCCAAAAAGAAAGAAAATACATGTACTTTCATCATCATTCAACACTTTCACCTCACTCACACATAATCACTGTTTTTGCAGAGGTGCTCAGAACACAACAGTTTAGAAGCATATACGTATAAAGATACACAACATATCCCTACAAACTGCTAATATCCCAAAACCCCTCCTTTAGAGTGCAGGCATTGTACTTCCCATTTCCAGGACTCGAGCCCGGCTATATAAAAATAATCGGTTTCCCTGAATCCCTTCACTAAATATTACCCTGCTCACACTCCAACAGATCGTCAGGCCCCAAATACCATACGTCTCCATTCACTCCTATCTAACACGCTCATGCACGCCTGCTGGAAGTCCAAGCCCCTCGCCCACAAAACCTTCCTTACCCCTTCCTTCCAACCTTTTCGAGGACGACCCCTACACTGCCTTCCTTCCCCTACAGATTTAAATGCTCTCCATGTCATTCTACTTTGATCCATTCTCTCTAAATGACCAAACCACCTCAACAACCCCTTTTCAGCCCTCTGACTAATACTTTTATTAACTCCACACCTTCTCCTACTTTCCACACTCTGAATTCTCTGCATAATATTTACACCACACATTGCCCTTAGACAGGACATCACTACCTCCAACCGCCTCCTCGCTGCTGCATTCACAACCCAAGCTTCACACCCATATAAGAATGTTGGTACTACTATACTTTCATACATTCCCTTCTTTGCCTCCATAGATAACGTTTTTTGACTCCATATATACCTCAATGCACCACTCACCATTTTTCCTTCATCAATTCTATGATTAACCTCATCCTTCATAAATCCATCTGCTGACACATCAACTCCCAAGTATCTGAAAACATTTACTTCTTCCATACTCCTCCTCCCCAATTTGATATCCAATTTTTCTTTATCTAAATCATTTGATACCCTCATCACCTTACTCTTTTCTATGTTCACTTTCAACTTTCTACCTTTACACACACTCCCAAACTCATCCACTAACCTTGGCAATTTTTCTTTAGAATCTCCCATAAGCACAGTATCATCAGCAAAAAGTAACTGTGTCAATTCCCATTTTGTATTTGATTTCCCCATAATTTAATCCCACCCCTCTCCTGAACACCCTAGCATTTACTTCTTTTACAACCCCATCTATAAATATATTAAACAACCATGGTGACATTACACATCCCTGTCTAAGACCTACTTTTACCGGGAAGTATTCTCCCTCTCTTCTACACACACCCTAACCTGAGCCTCATTATCCTCATAAAAGCTTTACAGCATTTAGTAACTTACCACCTATTCAATATACTTGCAACATCTGCCACATTGCTCCCCTATCTACTCTATCATATGCCTTTTCTAAATCCATAAATGCAATAAAAACTTCCCTAAATACTGTTCACATATACGCTTCAATGTAAACACTTGATCTACACATCCTCTACGCAATCTGAAACCTCCTTGCTCATCCGCAATCCTACATTCTATCTTACCTCTAATTCTTTCAATAATAACCCTACCATACACTTTTCCTGGTATACTCAATAAACTTATTCCTCTACAATTTTTACAATCTCTTTTGTCCCCCTTCCCTTTATATAAAGAGACTACACATGCTCTCCACCAATCCCTAGGTACCTTCCCCTCTTTCATACATTTATTAACCCTTTGACTGTCGCAACCCCCAATCCTGAGGTATCTCCTGGTGTCGCAAAATTTAAAAAAAAAAAATTACTTTTTCTCATGAAATGATAGAGAATCTTTTCCCGATTGTAATGACACCAAAAAAACGAAATTTGATGGAAAACTGACGGAATTATGCTCTCACGAAGTTAGCGACCTCGGCGCTGTTTACAAATCGGAAATTTCGCCCACTTTGAGCCCTATTTTCGGCTAATTCCATTGTTCCAGTCGCCCAAACTCATAGCTATTTCTTTAGAACTCCATTTTTTCTATCGATTGAGTACAAGAAACTGCCCATTTACCGATTTCAACTACCTAATAATGTGGTCAGAAATTTGCAATTTGGCCAATTTAAGGAAAATTAAAAAATATGACAATTTCAAAATAAGGTCCAGAATGAACAATGCAGACATTCCTGGCTCTAAAATAACATTTTCTTTGCTCATCAGTCATGTCTCCAGGCCCCTCTGATATTACTCTTGCTTTGTATTTTGAATTTTTATTCAAACAAAAAATAGAAGACTTACTATTATGCAGACTACTGCAATACTGTAATAATTGTATAAATAACATCAACCCATTCATGACTGCATATTAGAATGGCTAGTTGGACATTTATTGGACAATGGCATCATTTGTTTACTTTTGAACATTGGCAAAAATCAAACTTTTCCCCTACTTTGAGCTCCATTTCTAGGTTCTTTTATAGTAAAATCAATCAAAATCACCTCTATTTCTATAATATGTTTTCCATTCTATCAAATGAGACCAAGAAAACGAGAATACAACCATAAATACTATACGAAAATAGACCAGAAAGTTGGTATTTTAATTAAAAAAAAACGGTCGGAGTTTTTTTTTTCTCATTATGCACTGCGTGCTCCAGGATTTTTTTTATATGGTGCACACTGACCACACAGACCCATTCTCTCACATGTGGGCCTACCAGCTTTCTCCTACTTGATTTGAAGCCGCTAGAATTTATGAGTATATATACGTCAAACACGGTACCTCGTAAGACGTATATATACGGCCGCGAAAGTCAAAGGGTTAAACAAAAGTACCAACCACTCCAACACTATATACTAAATAAATTACAATTTCATGATACTAACAGGAGTTCAGCCACAAAACACACTAAGTATATTTAACCCAGGATAATCCAGTAAATTCAAATGATGTGACTTATTTCCATGTGTTGGGGAGTATTACACTCTGAAATAATTGTAATTTTTTAAGTATTTTGTGTACATAGCCTTAAAATACCAAAATGGTAAAAAAACAATTACAGGTCCACACTTTATCTGAAACCCTTGGGGCCAGTATCATTTCAAATTTCAGAATTTTTCCACTTTCAGAATGATTCTCAATGCCGCCACATAGTAGCATGACCCAGCACTGAGATGACCGACACTCCACAAAAAAACTTCGGTTTTCAGAACTTTTCAAATTTCAGAATTTTGGATAAAGGGATGTGGACCTGTATACAGTATACTGAATATTCCAAGTGGAGCAATGAAGGATTAACCCTTTACCAGGCCTGGAGATGGGTAATTACCCTTTTCCACTCTTGGTAAAGGGGTAATTACTCTTTTCCACTCTTGGTAAAGGGGTAATTACCCTTTACCAGGCCTGGTAAACATTTCCCAATGTTTGAAGTGCTAAAACATCTTTAAATGTCTAATATAATAATAAACTAGTGCACACAGTGTTAATTATTAAAAATTAAGAGCAATTTAAAAAACAGAAAAAACAATCATAACTTGGCATCAATAAACTGTAAAACAAATATTGCTGGCTCATTTACACCACTGTTGCCAAGAGTCTCAAAACAAGGTTTATGTTTGAACTGCCTTGTATGTACAGTGGACCTCCGGGTTAAGATGCCATCGGATTAAGTAACGTTTTTGCATCAAAATATTGGCTCGGTTATCGACACTGAACTCGGTAAAAGTCATTTGCCCCGAACGTGTCCGTGCGCCGTGAGCGGCCTGTACAGCCAGTGTGCCATTGTTGATGATTCCATTCATACATGCTGTATATTTTGTATTATTCCATTGTTTTTAGCGTTTGTAACTGCTAAATAAGCCACCATGGGCCCAAAGAAAGCTTCTAGTGCCAGTCCTTTGGTAAAGAGGGTGAGAAACACTATAGAATTCAAGAAAAAGTTTGTAGAAAGATACGAAAGTGATGGTGGTGGTAGAGTTTGGTAGTGATAGTGGTAGAGGGTGGTAGTGGTTGTGATGGTAATAGAGGGCGGCAGTATGGGCCAACAAGTCTGCTGCAGTGTTCCTGCAGCCAGGGTACCTCCCCACACACACCAGCCAGGGTACTTCCCCACACACACCAGCCAGGGTACTTCCCCACACACACCAGCCAGGGTACTTCCCCACACACACCAGCCAGGGTACTTCCCCAACCACACCAGCCAGGGTACTTCCCCACACACACCAGCCAGGGTGCTTCCCCACATACACCAGCCAGGGTACTTCCCCACACACACCAGCCAGGGTACTTCCCCAACCACACCAGCCAGGGTACTTCCCCACACACACCAGCCAGGGTGCTTCCCCACATACACCAGCCAGGGTACTTCCCCACAAACACTAGTATTTGATTTGATTGGGACTTGCCCATGAGTGAATAGAATTATCAAAGCTTATTGCTTGGGATACACTGAAAATTGGGTTGGGCAAATAAGATTCTGTTAGTGGGATGGTTTGTGAAGGACCTGCTTTGAGCTCAGTTTCAAGCCATTTTCACTATTAAAACCAATCAGAATCATCTCTATTTCTGTAATTTATCTTCCATTCTATCAAATGAGACCAAGAAATGGTGAATATAACCTTAAAAACATACGAAAAACACTGCAAAGTCGCTGTTATAAACCAAAAATATGGTTGCATTTTTGTTTTCTCATTCACTGTGCAGCAGGATTTGTTTTATGTGGTATACACTTACAACATTGATGAATTCTCTCATAACTAGGCCCAAATTTACCGCTTACAGCTTATCTGAGTGAGTTGAGCTCATGGCATAGAACTACTGCTCGGACCCTGGCTTCAAAGCCGTAGAACTATGGAACAGACCCTCAAAGGGTTAAATGTCGTAGTATATTACATATTACTTTTGGGTGTCTGGAACAGACTAATTGGATTTCCATTATTTCTTATGGGGAAAATTAATTTTGAATAAGTGAGATTCGGGAAAGACACACTCTGGAATGGATTAATTACGTTATCCGGGGGTCCACTGTATACTGTCAAGAACAAGCCAAATGAGGATGGAAACCTTTAGCTTAAGATCTGTAATATACACAGTAGTACAAGCGAATACTTTATGTTGGGCAAGTTTAAAATTTGGGTAAGTGGGAGAGCGTTATCTAGAGGAAATAATCTGTGACTTAGTTCTTGCTAACAAAGGTCTTTAATTAATAATCTTGAGGTTAATGATGAGTTTGAGCAAAGTGATCACAAATTATTCAGTCTCAATATATCATGGAATTACTTTAATAACTACAATCATAGTCCCTGATTTTTGTGCAACCAATTTTGTGGGGTTGAGGGATTATCTAGGTAAAGTGAACTGGTGTGACCTCACAGGTGATTATCCTGTTGAGCAGGTATGTGGAGATGGTTACCAATATGACATTTTTGAAAGCATAGTTCAAGCCGCTCAGGCAACATACGTCCCAAAAGGGAAATTAGATCAAATAATAATGACCCTAAATGGATAAAAAGGATCACATATATAATGGTCAAGAGAGGTATTTACAGTTGAATCAAAAGAAGAGAGGAACACTTGAAATTAATATCACATGGAAACTGAAGACCAACCCAAAAGCTTTTTCAGGCACTATGTATATAGGAGTAAGATTAGGGAGAAGATAGACCCACTTGAAAGTTGCTCAAGTCAGATGAGTGAAAAAGATATGTATAAAATCTACAACACTTATTTCCTCTCAATTTTTACACAGGAAGATACTAGTAAAACTGCAGAAATAAAATATTATATAGGTCAGGACAAAAATAACTTATGCACAATGAAAGTTACAAGTGAAGTGGTTCTCAAACAGATTAAAACCAAACAAATCATCAGACCCTGATGAACTGTTCTCAATGGATATAAAGGAATGAGGAGAAACTTTGCACACAGATCACTTGAAAACAGTATAGTGCCAGATAAGTGGAAAATGTCAAGTATGATACCTATCTACAAAGTGGGAGACGGGTTGTTAGCTTCAAATTCTAGACCAATTAGTCTAACCTTCAATGTGGGGAAACTGATGGATTCAATAAATGCTGAGGCTATTCAAAACCACCTTGAAAAGCAAACTGATCAATGATTCTCAGCATGGGTTAACGAATTTACTACCTTTTTTCACCAAAGTACTTGAGTTGGCAGATCATGACAATGCATATGATATTGTGTGTATGAACTTCAGTAAGGCCTTTGATAGAGTTCCACACAAGGGGTTGTTGTGGAAAGTAGAAGCACACAGAATAGGGAGAGAATTTTTTTTCATGGATTGAGTCATAGTTGACAGTGAGGCAACAGTGTGTTTGCATAGATGAGAAATCAGTGTAGAGATGCCTTACAAGCAGTGTTCCACAGGGGTTGGTATTGGGCCCTTTGTTGTTCATATCTTACACAAAAACAAAGATGAGGGAATAAATAGTGATTTAAGCAAATCTGCCAACAGACACTAAAACAGGCCATCAGATTAATTCTGGTGAGGACACCAGAGTGCTGCAAATAGACCTGGATAGGTTGATGCAGCGATTGAAAAAGTGGCAGATGCAGATTAATATAGACAAATGTTAAGCCCTAAGGCTGGCAAAAGAGAATAACCATGGCACTTATAATCTGAATAATGTACATTCAATCATTCTGAATACAAAAAAGATTTAGTTCTCATTAGCAGTAATCTACAGCCAAAGCAACAGTGCATAAGTTCAATAGAATTTTTGACTTTATATTAGGAAGTATAAATAATAGTAGTCCTCAGGTTATACTTCAGTTTTATTTTTTTTTTCAACAAACTGGCAGTATCCCACCAAGGCAGGGTGGCCCAAAAAGAAAAACGAAAGTTTCTCTTTTTAAATTTAGTAACTTATACAGGAGAAGGGGTTACTAGCCCCTTTCTCCTGGCATTTTAGTCGCCTCTTTCAACACTCATAGCTTACGGAGGAAGAATTCCGTTCCACTTCCCCATGGAGATAGAGGAAATAAACAAGAACAAGAACTAGTAAGAAAATAGAAGAAAACCCAGAGGGGTGTGTATATATATATATATATATGCTTGTACATGTATGTGTATTGTGACCTAAGTGTAAGTAGAAGTTGCAAGACGTACCTGAAACCTTGCATGTTTTCGAGACAAAAAATGGACACCAGCAATCCTACCATCATATAAAACAATTACAGGCTTTCGTTTTACACTCACTTGGCAGGACAGTAGTACCTCCCTGGGCGGTTGCTGTCTACCAACCTACTACCTAGGTTCAGTTTTATATATCCTTGGTAAAGCCTTGTTTAGATAATGCTGTGCTGTTCTGGTCTCCCCATTACAGAAAGGACATAAATGCACTAGAAAACAAGATGACAATGGAAAGCACCAGTTTGGCAATGGATCTGTGGATGAATGGAACAAATTCCCAAATACTAGTGTCACCAAGGCAAAGACCTTGAGTAAATTTAAAACAGGTTAGACAAGTACATGAGTGGGCCTGAGTTGGAGATGCCTAGCATGGGCCAGCAGGCCTGCCACAGTGCTTCTTTCTTATGTTATGTACGTACTTGCTTGGGCGACTGTTCATACAGCAGCTGTTTGTTGAGTTATTATTGGCTTTAGATGATTTGCTGTAGATCTTTAAATCTTGAAAAAAAATTTAAAAATTGCTGTATAAGAAATGTTATACTAACCTGCAGTGCATTTTTTTCCATTTTTGTTTCATAAATAATGAAGCAATTAATCACACAGGGAATGCTAGTTTGGCAAAAATCAGCATTACACATGTGTTTACTTTTTAACCCTTTGACTATCACAACCCCAAATCCTGAGGTGTCTCCTGGTGTTGCAAAATATTTGAAAATTCTTACAAAATGATAGAGAATCTTTTCCCGATGGTAATGACACCAAAAGTATGAAATTTGATGGAAAACTTACAGAATTACGCTCTTGCGAAGTTAGCGACTTCGGCAATATTTACAAATCGGCGATTTTGCCCACTTTGAGCCCTATTTTCCACTAATTCCATTGTTCCAGTCGACCAAACTCATAGCTATTTCTTTAGAACTCCATTTGTTCTATCAACTGAGTACAAGAAACTGCTCATTTACTGATTTCAACTACCCAATAACTTGGTCTGAAATTGGCAATTTGACCAATTTTACGCAAATTAAAAAATATGCCAATTTCAAAACAGGTTCCAGAATGAACAATGCAGACATTCCTGGCTCTAAAATAACATTTTCTTTGATCATCAGCCACGTCTCCAGGCCCCTCTGATATTACTCTTGCTTTCTATTTTGAATTTTTATTCAAACAAAAAATACAAGATTTACTGTTATGCAGACTACTACAATATTGTAATAATTGTATAAATAATGTCAACCCATTCATGACTGCATATTAGAATGGCTAGTTGGACATTTATTAGAAAATGACGTCATTTGTTTACTCTTGAACATCGGCAAAAATCAAACATTTCCCCTACTTTGAGCTCCATTTCTAGGTCCTTTCTATATTAAAACCAATCAAAATCACATCCATTTCTATATGTTTTTCATTCTATCAAATGTGACTACGAAAACTAGAATATAACCACAAAAACTATATGAAAATACACCTCAAAGTCGGTGTTTTAATCCAAAAACACGATCGGAGTTTTTTTCTAATTATGCACTGCTTGCTGCAGGATTTTTTTTTATACTGCACACATTGACCCATTCTCTCACATGTGGGCCTACCAGCTTTCTCCCACTTGATCTGAAGCCGCTACAATTTGTGAGTATATATACGCCAAACACATTGGCTTGTAAGACGTATATATACGACCGAAACAGTCAAAGGGTTAAACTTACCATCCAAAACCTTTCGAGGTCAAGAAGTTATGTTAACTGATGAACTTACATCTTTTTTTTTATTTAGTCTTCACTACAGATCAGCTGGCTCATGATGGTTAAGTAGGCTTTCAGGTTGCAAGTGGCAATATACATAGCTGATTAGGTAGTCACCAGGATTGTATGGCCTCTCTCAAGCCAGGCTGCCAGAGTAAAAAATTCTTGAAACTGGCCAGTTCTCTTGAATAGTATCACTGAAGTGATGAAGAATGTGTATATATTCTACAAGGGTGAAAATAAAATATGCATATGGTAAATTATCAATCTGTTGTGCACCAAAAATAAAAAATAAAACTACTATATACAAGTCTGGACTTAAGAAGCCTGCCTTTTCCTAAACCTTCTCTTTATCTTTTAAGATTTTCAGTGGCTACTGTCAGTGTTCATTTTCAAAAAAAAGAGTATGCACTTCCCAAAGTTTGCAAGTACAGCCTCTCCTCACTTAACAACGGAGTTCCGTTCCTATGACGACGTCTATAAATGAATTTGTTGCTAAGTGAGGAGTATACATGTACTATAATGCTAGTGGGTTTGTGTCAACCATCTTTGATGTTTATCACCTTTGCAACATTTATAACACTTCTGGTATATTTTTAAATGTTTATACAGTATTGTACTGTACTATATTGTAATAAACATAAAGGAAATCAGCTCTAATATAAATATTTAGAGTACGTTGCAAAGTGAGGAGAGCTAACTATGTGTCACAACGAACTTATATTGTACCAAATAATGTACGTACAGTTCTTGAAAAATTAATTTGAACATTTTCCCTAAAAATCCTTAAACCCTTCAAAAATGAGATTTACCATATATTATACCATACTGTATGTATAATGCAAGAAATTTGAGTTAACATTTAATTCTATGAATGGCCTTTAAAAAAAATGTGGCCCAAGTTCTTTAACTTACAACTTCCTTCTATGCATTAGTGAACAATGCCCTTTAACCTTTCACTATGGTGATCCCCAAAATTAAGTGCTAACTGTTGCATTTATAAAAACAAAAAATCCAAAATGGCAGAGAATCTTTTTCCAAAGGCAGTGACACCAAAAAATATTAAATTTTATGCAAACTTACAGAATTAGGCAGGTGCAAAGTTGACATCTGAACGCAATTTACGCAGAAGCGATTTCATAAACAGTCCTATTTTAAGACAATTATATTGCTCAATTTGATCAAATTCCTAGCTATTTTACTAGTATGCTTGACTCACGAAATCATAATGACACGGTTGCTAGCTGGCCCAGTGGCTAACGCAACGGTCTGGAGTTTTGAGACTCTCTGACCGTGGGTTCAAATCCCGCCCGTGGTATGGTTTACTAGTATGCCTTCCATTCTATCAAATCAGCACAAGAAACCGCCCATTCAACTATGAAAACTATCCAATAAACGGCACAGTTTGGTAATTTGGCAAATTTTACAGAAAATTCAACAAATTCTAATATAAAGCTGTATACATTCCAGTAACCGATGCACTCTATCCTCTGTTCATTCATCATGTCCTCATGCCTCTATATAACACATGCTCTCTATTTTCACGATTGGTCATGGTTACCGCCATCCGAATAATTGAAGCAGATGTGGTAAAAATTCACAAAACAGACTAGAGGGGTGGGAGGCCTTACTCTTCCTTAGAAAAACTGCTAAAAATCGAATATTTCCTCTATTTTCAAGCCCTATTTCAAGTTAATTCCTGAAACTGATCAAAATTATATGTCCTGAAACTGACCAAAATTATGTTTATTCAGCTCTGATGAGCTGTTTGACCTAATGAAATGTTCTGTAGCACTATATTTCCTATATTAGATTCTGTACAATTGTAAGTCTCACAGATTCTCCACAGATGTATACAGACTGAAAAAAGCCTTTGACATGTGTAACCATGGTGTAAAAGCACTAGTACGTTTTCCTTTCTATCAAGTGATACCAAAAAACGGCTCATAACATCATAAAAGCCTCTATTTTAAATTGAATACAAAGCCAGAGGTTTACTTTTCCCATCATTCACCGCATGGGAGTAGATTTTATTTAATACCAAGGGAGTTATGCTTAAAACAAAGGTCTCCACAAGTGATGCTGGCATCAACAACAGATCTACTTACAAAATAGTGAAAAGGTCAAACACCTACAATCTACAAGATTGATGATGGACTGAACACATCGACTCCAGGCTGAGGGACTGATTACCTCAAACTCCTCCTCTCCTTACGCCTTTCTACTTTGTATCGGACTGATGAAGCCACTGTGGCGAAACGTTTCCTGAATAAAGATTCCCATATGTTGCATAAGTGTCTCAATCTTCAACTCATCGGTTTTTCAAACCATTCATCACACCTTTTATTATACAGCAATAAAGGAGTGAAACAAATTGCCTGAACATATCATGGCCAATCCTGGCATCAACCAATTCAGGAAGAGCTTAAGGGCTCCTAATGAATGAAGCTAAATAATGGGAGGAAAGTGATTTCACATATACACGTAGTTGGCATTCACGTACCTATTATATTTTTCCCCTAGCATTCATGTAAACTACTCAGTTTACTTTATTGTATCTTTTTATTTAATGGATTATCTGCAGTTGATTTATTTAAATTTATTTTTATGATTATAATCATGACTTTGCCTAAGCTATTATGACTTTTTTTGTTATCCTAAGTAATTTACACATTACTAGGCAAGACACTGGCAATCACCCAAAACTTGTTTACTTACACTTAGGCATAACTGTACATGTACATATTATTAAGATGGGTTAAGGTGCTCAGAAACATTTACCAGGGAATGTCTGATAGCTCTTTGTATACCTTGCCTCAGTCATGATTAAAAATGGGTAGGCAAGTAGGACTGGTCTAGCACAAATCAGCATTTATACCTGTCCTCATATTCACAAGTTACATTACTTGACCGCCAAGTAAAATTTGACTTACAGCTATGAAATAACTTGTGTATATACTGTAGTATCCTTACAGTATGTAGACATTGTACTTTTAACACTTAGGTTGGGATGGGCAGGCACTTCCCTAATCCAAATCTTAACAGGAAAACTTTACTACCGTAGTACAATCCCGAGCATGAAAGTCATCCATACTGTATGCATATTACTTACACTCTTGTAGCTAAAAATATTATTTGATTTTGTGGACATGGCAACAAACTATTAGATTCCAACACCCATGTGCAATTCTTGTAATATAGATGAAATAATTTTGAAGGGAGTAAGTCACTTGTCTGACTTTTTTGGGTTATCTTAGGTAATTTACATACGTTACCATGTATAATAATTGTACTTAAGTGCACCTGTACCTAAATAAACTTACTTACATGTCAGTATAAACTAGTTTAGAATGATTTAAGGAGATATGGTTAAATCATCAGATAGCCTAGTATTGGGCTTCTGGAGTTTATCTGGAGAGAGTTCCGGGGGTCAACGCCCCCGCGGCCCGGTCTGTGACCAGGCCTCCTTAGGTCAGTGTCCCAGGATGCGACCCACACCAGTCGACTAACACCCAGGTACCCATTTTACTGATGGGGAACACAGACAACAGGTGGAAAGAAACACGTCCAATGTTTCTACTCTGGCTGGGAATCGAACCCAGGCCCTCACCGTGTGAAGCGAGAGCGTTAACCACCAGGCCACCAGAGCCCTGATGACTGATTTCCTGAGCAAATTTATGCCACCTATGGTAACTTATTAGTAGAAATGAACCACATAAAAGCAAACTCATAGCGGGTCATGAGGAGCAGAAGCACGGGAGCCAATGGTCCTGCCAACAGGAAACTACCATGGTTCGGAATACAGTAATGGTATTCATTTTATTTTGTCACAAATAACTACATTACCTCAGGAACAAGCACTGGGCTGTTACAATGTATGCATTGTAACACCCCCAGGTAAACATAAATACAATTACCATACATAGTGTAAATTACCTAGGATAACCCAAAAAGGTCAGACTTATTTCCATTGGGGTCCTTGGGTATTGTCTATACAACAGGTCATTCTGTGTATGTTGGTTTTCTGTGATTATGATAGTATCACTTTCTGTTGCAGTCATGCACATCATAACTACAAAGGATGGTATAGATTCTTGGACAAGCGACCCTGCTTTATGGTGTTTCGGTAATGCAGTGATTTTCAATTATACCCATTCTTCATTTATTCCAACTTCCTACAAGCTAAGGATGAAAATATTTTAAGGTAAGTAATGTGTGCACTGTATGAAGAAAGTATTTTAAGTAATCTGTGCACTGTTTATGTATTTTTTTAAGTTTAGGTCTATTATTAACTTATTATGTGATATTGTAAACAGGTTATCAGGCTTTAATATGCAACTGAAGGTGAAAAAAAGCCCCCCTCCCCCCCCTGACAGCAGCTGTTTCACTTTACAGCAGTAACCCAAAACCTAACCTGCTGTATAAGCAGGGCCCTCCTGTACTCCTCGGATTGGTGCTATCATTCATTAATCTTGTGTAATGCCTAAAGTGAACTGAATGGAAGACTACTGCACCGATGTCACCTTTTAGCCATATCAAGTGTGTTAAACAATAATAATGTTTCAACATCTTTCATCCAAGTTGCACCAAGGATGACATCGTAGAATCTCTAAGCCTCTAGGAAACAAGAAATTTGCGAGAACCATACAGATAGGAGACCCCACAATACTTGACTTTGTATGAATGGCATCTATATAAGATATAGTAAGTCTCCAAGCTGATACTAACCAAGTTTTCCAGTGGGCTACCAACAGCAATATGATGTTCAATGAGATCAAATTTCAATTCTTATGTTTAAGGAAGGATTGAGGAAAAAAAAAGATAAGAGTAAAAGAAACAAATCACTCAACAGAGTGGAAGTTTAATGAAAGAGACTTGGTAGTCAGACGATCTCAGGTTCAAAGAGCACAACAATGTTATTATCTCAACTGCAGGGAAAATGATAGCCTGGATAACCAGAACTTTCAGAAGACAAGCTAAGCTAATGATGCTCTTAAGGTAACTCTCTAACCTATTTTTAAATATGCCCAAGATTCTTTCTTCCATGATGCTACCCTGGAATTTGTTCCACTCATCCACAACTCTTGCCAAACCAGTGACTTAAGCCCACTGCTGCGAGTCCTGTCTTGCTTAGATATTTTAAGCATGTTATTTATATCCCCTTTATTTATTCCTGTATTTCATTTGTATACTCCAGTAATATAACCCCCCCCCCCCTAATAGTACATCTTTCCAATGACTGCAGATTCAGTGCCGCCAGTCTATACAGCGCGTGTAAACTGTCAGGCACCTAATTACTGGGAGAACCTCAATTAAGTCCCTCAAACTGTACTCCTCAGAAATATAGGTAAGAAAGATATGCCAATCCACACCCGAAAGTTTCTGGAGGGATTGGGTTTAAATCTGCACACCAAAATCACTACATGTAAAAACTAGGCAGCTGGGAACAGTGTAAGACACCTCCAGTGAAAAAATGGGAATAACGAGTACACAAAGAATTCAACGAGTGTAAAAGGATAATGACTTCAAGACCGTTCCTTCATGTATAAAGGGAATTACTAACAAACCCCAAGCTGTCTTTCAAGAAATTTTTAACCCCTGAGGATTAGCCACCCAGGATAACCCAAGAAAGTAGGTGTGTCATCAAGGACTGTCTTATTTTCACTGTGGTCCTTCAATCTTGTCCACCAGGATGCAACTCACACCAGTTGACTAATACCCTACTTGCTTGCTAACTGAACGGGGGCAGCAGGTGTAAGAATACAACAATTGTTTCCACCCAGCTGGGGACTGAACCACGGACGCCCAGTGTGTGAGAGCATTGCCCACCAAGCCTGGCTGGGGTACACGTTGGACTGCAGGCAAAAACAGCCTGGCTGATCAGTTTAACAACCCAGCAACCTGACCTCAGACCAGGCCGCAGGGGCAGTGACCTCACTAAGTGACTATAGGTAACCTAAAACCATCCTAGTGTGTTGCAGGCTGAATTTGTTTCCAAAGGTAAAACAGCTGTTACTGACACAACTATTGGGCCAAGCAAAAGCTGGATATGTTGATGCAGTGGTTGGTGAAGTGGCAGATACAGTTTAACGTAGACAAATGTAAGGTTCTAAGCCTGGGAAGAGAGCAAGTTTAAGCACAAGTATACACAAGTACTATAGCATATATTACCTAGGATAACATCCCCCCAAAACAAGTCAAAGTGACTTATTTCCGCTGGGGTCCTCGAGAATAATAATGGTGCTTATAAACTGAACAACATAAAACTCAATCAGAATACAAAAATAATTTAGTTTTCATTAGCAGTAATCTAAAGCTAGAAGAACACTTCCTGAGTGTTTGCAATACACCTAACTGATTTTTTGGCTTTAAAAAGGAGGATAGATCAAAACAAGGAACTGGAGGGTCTAGTAACAATCATGTTACGGGCTTAATACCCATTTTAATACTGTCTACAGGTTACAATACGAGTAAAGAACCAGAGTTCACCCAACACATGTAATATGAGTCTATAAATCTCACTGTCAACTGTCATAATTAAAAAAGAAAAAAAAAAGTACAAGGCATAAGATAAAACAGAGTTCAGTCAGACCAAGAATATAAATACTCAGTTGTTTACATATTACAAGTAGTGTACGTAGAGAGAAAGCAACAAGTAGAGAAGGTATAATAATGAGAGAGGAGAGTAAATAAGAGGAAAGTATCAGTGACAATCTGTCACGTCGGGTTCCAGCTGATCGCAATGTAGCCAGGCTTGCCAACACTCACAGCCACGCCACTTTCAAAATTACCATCACCACAACACCATCCCGCTGCCATTAACCTCACATACATCATGTGCGTGTGTGTGTGCGTCCTCCATGTAGTGGAGGAGTGTGTGGTGTGTACGAGGAAATGTGTAAGGAGAGAAGACAAGTACCGGTCAATCCCCCCTCTCTTAACTAGTGAGGTTGGCAACCCTGGGCCACAGTTTGAAGAGATGGACAGTGTATTTCTCTGATATAACTTTTATTATCAGCGGCGACCACTGCTTCTAACCTCCTCTAACACCTGCCACCCGTCTCTAACATCAACCTAACACCTCCACGCCACAAAAAAGCCTAACACGTGGTATGGGTGTTGTCGGGGGATGTAAACAATAAGTGAGGCGGCCATATGAGAGCAGTGTACTGTACCTGTATTGCTTTGTTCCGCCATTATTGCAGGGTTTTCTTGAACAAGCTGCATTAAAAAATCCCAGGGAAGTAAATCCTTAATTAGCACACATGTAATTCACTTATTATTGATGATTGGCCTCATCGTGCTCCCTCACAAACTCAACACACACAAGGATGAACTGAGGCTGAGCGGCAACAGTCTAGCCTCGCGCCCGGGCTCATCAAAATTCCTGCCGAGTAGAAAACGGGACGCCATGATGTTAAAGGGGCCCAGAATCCACCGTTTTCACTTACAATCTTACCAATTATATTACCAATGAAACTTGATTCTAATGATATTACACGAATTAGAATTTAGAGACAAACACATGCACTGCAAACATGATTAAATAAAAATAAAATTTAAACTAAAATTTTAATATATTTTAAAATGAATACAACAGTCAGAATCAACAACAAATCCCCGATCTGAATCAGCGTAAGAAAAATTTTTGAGATGGGAAAAGAAGGTAGAATTAAGTGGGAATAAATGAAAATCCAGGAGTATCTAGGGCAGGCGCTCATTCTCGAGCCCCCTTAAAAAGAGAAGCCATCAGACCCCCGGGAGAGCCAATCAGGTGGCCGGGTTGGGTGTAGTGGGCGGGGTTAGCGTGACGTCACGGGTGTGAGCGGCGGCTCTGGGCCAACCCCGTAGAAGGACTAAATAAAATTTTTGTTCGCTTTCATTCTAGGGCCGTTCCTGAATAGTCACTCCGATAGTTGAGAAATAATCCATGTGTATCATAAGGGCGGTTTTCCCGCGCTCTTGCGAAATAATAGTTTTTGGGGGGTTGTAATTCCCTGGGTGGATATGGAGTCACGGGGAAGAATGAGTGAATTATAGTTTAGTTGTGTGGTAAAAAGTTCGGTTTTCTAAGTTTGACCTCTAGTGCGCAGGGCATTAAACTAGCGAAGGTCGCTGAGTTAGGGTGGTCGCTGGAGCGGGGTGACTGCTATAGCAGATGCGGAAAGGGAATGGGGGCGGAATAAGCGGGGAGGGAGGGAGGGGGAGGAGGAAGGGGGGAGAGGGGAGAAACGTTACTATGGATCTAGGAAAGTTTCAGAGTATACTGCCGTTTTCGCTTTGCAATAATTTCTACATTTCACAGCGTGGCGAGTTGTGAGGAGGGAAAGGAAAGGTTGCGGGCGAAACGTAGGCCGGGTGGGGATGGAAAAGAGGGGAAGAATACCAGGAATATAAGGGCAAGATGAGCATAGTGGAGGCGCAAGGCATTAGTGCGCGAACAAGCAAACGGTAGAACAGGCAAGGCATGGCATTTACAGCATTAAGGGGGGGCGGGGGTGAGTTACGAGGGGAGGGGAGGGGAGGGGGGGAGAGAGAGAGCGAGAGAGAGAGAGAGAGAGAGAGGAGAGAGAGAGAGAGAGAGAGAGACTGGCTATCTGGGAACGGCCCTACTGAGGGAGAGTCTCTCCCTCTTTCGCTCCCTCTTTCTAATGGGCGTTTTCCATTATTTATTGTTTCTTTGGCGGGGAGATTAAGTGTCCTTGTGAGGAAGATGTTGCGGGGAGACAACTTAGAGATAACCAAGATAAGGCCAGGGGCTATAATTAACCCATAGTTGTTTGGTGATATTTAGGGACGGCCCTAGTTCCCCTCCACCCTCCATAGTTCCCCCTTCTCCTCCAGCTCTCCCTCCAACCCTCCCTCCATCCATCCTTCCCTCCCTCACTCCCAACACAAGCCCTCTAGCCCTCTGCTCTCTCTCCCCTCCACTATTCCTCTCGTCTTAATATTGATTTTACTTGTCAGTATTCATATCTATATCTAACCTCACTCTTTAAGAGGGGCGGGCTTGAGGCTTTGGCGAAGAGCTCTTGATCCAGGGAACTGGAGCTGCACGCTCCTTCCCCAGGGTCATACCTAATTACCTTACATTTCCCAGGCACTGTGACCCATGTGGGTCTAACACTTCACCATGAATATACCATCTATCAGTGGCCTCTTGTAGTCCATCCCAAGGGTCATTCCTCCGGTTAGGTTAGGTTAGGTAAGGTTCGTCAGGAAACAGGACAAATGTTTCCTGACGCGGGTCTTAGTCAGATGATGACCCGCCTTTGGAGCTTTTGGTCATCTGACTGAGGCCTTCCGCTGGCTTACCGGTCCACCCCTTTAAAAATTATGGTCATTTATAACCATTGTTATTATTTCTATTCCTCCGGTTCCAGGTGGGTAGGTATTAGGTTTGTCAGGAAAGAGGACAAGGGTTTCCTGGAGCTTTTCGTCTGACCGAGGCCTTCCGCTGGCTTATCGGTCCACTTCTTTAAAAATTGTGGGTATGATTATAACCATTTCTTTTGCTCTCTGGTTCTATAACAACATTCTTGGTTAAATAGATCAATCAGGCTGTTAGTGCTACCAGCACGCAGTCCAACGTAAGTACCACAGTCGGCGACTCATGAACAAAAGAAGGAACACTGCAGTAGGCCTACTGGCCCATGACAGTCAGGTCCAAGTCACCTACTAGCCTAAGCTAGGTAGGCCCAAGTCACCTACTGGCCTAAGCTAGTCAGGTCCAAGTCACCTACTGGCCTAAGCTAGTTAGGTCCAAGTCATCTAGTCTACCTACCCTGCAGGTAGGTAGACTAGCTGGGGTGTTGACCACTGGAACACCCTGCAGGTAGGTAGACTAGCTGCGGTGTTGACCACTGGAACACCCTGCAGGTAGGTAGACTAGCTGGAGTGTTGACCACTGGAACACCCTGCAGGTAGGTAGACTAGCTGGGGTGTTGACCACTGGAACATCGTGTAGGTAGGTAGACTAGCTGGGGTGTTGACCACTGGAACATCGTGCAGGTAGGTAGATTAGCTGGGGTCTTGACCACTGGAACACCCTGCAGGTAGTTAGACCAGCTGGGGTGTTGACCACTGGAACACCCTGCAGGTAGGTAGACTAGCTGGGGTGTTGACCACTGGAACACCCTGCAGGTAGGTAGACTAGCTGGGGTGTTGACCACTGGAAGATCCTGCAGGAGTAGACTAGCTGGTGTTGACCACTGGAACACCTGCAGTAGGTAGACTAGCTGGGGTGTTGACCACTGGAACATCGTGCAGGTAGGTAGACTAGCTGGGGTGTTAACCACTGGAACATCGTGCAGGTAGGTAGACTAGCTGGGGTGTTAACCACTGGAACATCGTGCAGGTAGGTAGACTAGCTGGGGTGGGCAAGTGCTGGAACATCGTGCAGGTAGGTAGACTAGCTGGGGTGTTGACCACTGGAACACCCTGCAGGTAGGTAGACTAGCTGGGGTGTTGACCACTGGAACACCCTGCAGGTAGTTAGACTAGCTGGGGTGTTGACCACTGGAACACCCTGCAGGTAGGTAGACTAGCTGCGGTGTTGACCACTGGAACACCCTGCAGGTAGGTAGACTAGCTGGGGTGTTGACCACTGGAACACCCTGCAGGTAGGTAACTAGCTGGGTGTTACCACTGGAAGATCCTGCAGGTAGGTGACTAGCTGGGGTGTTGACCACTGGAACATCCTGCAGGTAGGTAGACTAGCTGGGGTGTTGACCACTGGAACATCGTGCAGGTAGGTAGACTAGCTGGGGTGTTAGTCACCTCACCTCACTACAGTATATAAGCCACGTCTACGGCCCTATGCTGTACATTCTACAAGATTGATGGACTGAACACATCGACACCAGGTTGAGGGACTGATTACCTCATACTCCTCATCTCCTTACGCCTTCCTCTTTGTATTGGACTGATGAAGCCACTGTGTGGCGAAACGTTTCCTGAATAAAGATTCCCATATGCTGCATAAGTGTCTCAATCTTCATCCTGCAGGTAGATAGACTAGATGGGGTGTTAACCACTGGAACATCCTGCAGGTAGGTAGACTAGCTGGGGTGTTAACCACTGGAACATCCTGCAGGTAGGTAGACTAGCTGGGGTGTTAGCCACTGGAACATCCTGCAGGTAGGTAGACTAGCTGGGGTGTTGACCAGTGGAAGATCCTGCAGGTAGGTAGACTAGCTGGGGTGTTGACCACTGGAACATCGTGCAGGTAGGTAGACTAGCTGGGGTGTTGACCACTGGAACATCGTGCAGGTAGGTAGACTAGCTGGGGTGTTAACCACTGGAACATCGTGCAGGTAGGTAGACTAGCTGGGGTGTTGACCACTGGAACATCCTGCAGGTAGGTAGACTAGCTGGGGTGTTGACCACTGGAACATCGTGCAGGTAGGTAGACTAGCTGGGGTGTTGACCACTGGAACATCCTGCAGGTAGGTAGACTAGCTGGGGTGTTGACCACTGGAACATCCTGCAGGTAGGTAGACTAGCTGGGGTGTTAACCACTGGAACATCGTGCAGGGAGGTAGACTAGCTGGGGTGTTAACCACTGGGACATCGTGCAGGTAGGTAGACTAGCTGGGGTGTTAACCACTGGAACATCGTGCAGGTAGGTAGACTAGCTGGGGTGTTAACCACTAGAACATCGTGCAGGTATGTAGACTAGCTGGGGTGTTAACCACTGGAACATCGTGCAGGTAGGTAGACTAGCTGGGGTGTTGACCACTGGAACATCGTGCAGGTAGGTAGACTAGCTGGGGTGTTAACCACTGGAACATCGTGCAGGTAGGTAGACTAGCTGGGGTGTTAACCACTGGAACATCGTGCAGGTAGGTAGACTAGCTGGGGTGTTAACCACTGGAACATCGTGCAGGTAGGTAGACTAGCTGGGGTGTTGACCACTGGAACATCGTGCAGGTAGGTAGACTAGCTGGGGTGTTAACCACTGGAACATCGTGCAGGTAGGTAGACTAGCTGGGGTGTTAACCACTGGAACATCGTGCAGGTAGGTAGACTAGCTGGGGTGGGCAAGTGCTGGAACATCGTGCAGGTAGGTAGACTAGCTGGGGTGGGCAAGTGCTGGAACATCGTGCAGGTAGGTAGACTAGCTGGGGTGGGCAAGTGCTGGAACATCGTGCAGGTAGGTAGACTAGCTGGGGTGTTGACCACTGGAACACCCTGCAGGTAGGTAGACTATCTGGGGTGTTAACCACTGGAACATCGTGCAGGTAGGTAGACTAGCTGGGGTGTTAACCACTGGAACATCGTGCAGGTAGGTAGACTAGCTGGGGTGTTGACCACTGGAACATCGTGCAGGTAGGTAGACTAGCTGGGGTGGGCAAGTGTTGGAACATCGTGCAGGTAGGTAGACTAGCTGGGGTGGGCAAGTGCTGGAACATCGTGCAGGTAGGTAGACTAGCTGGGGTGGGCAAGTGCTGGAACATCGTGCAGGTAGGTAGACTAGCTGGGGTGGGCAAGTGCTGGAACATCGTGCAGGTAGGTAGACTAGCTGGGGTGGGCAAGTGCTGGAACATCGTGCAGGTAGGTAGACTAGCTGGGGTGGGCAAGTGCTGGAACATCGTGCAGGTAGGTAGACTAGCTGGGGTGGGCAAGTGCTGGAACATCCTGCAGGTAGGTAGACTAGCTGGGGTGTTGACCACTGGAACATCGTGCAGGTAGGTAGACTAGCTGGGGTGTTGACCACTGGAACATCGTGCAGGTAGGTAGACTAGCTGGGGTGGGCAAGTGCTGGCTTAACTAATGACCAGGTCATCATCTGACAAAGAGCCGTGTCAGGAAACTTAAGTTTCCTTGACAAACAGAACACCAAGTAAGTTTATTTAGGTACTGGGCCACATAAGTACAATTATCATGCCTAGTAACACACGTCTCAATTTCCTAGGATAATCCTCCCCAAAAAAGTCAAAGTGACTTATTTGCACTAGAGTTCTAACATTTCCCAACACTGATAGGGAATTTATTAACTACACACTTCTGCACTGTCTTTCAAAACGCATCTATCTGGAGTCTACCTGAAGGGTATTCCGGGGATCAACCACCCCCCGCCCGTGGCCCGGTCCACGACCAGGCCTCCCAGTGGATCAGAGCCTGATCAACTAGGCTGTTACTGCTGTAGACCAACGTA